GAAGTACTGTCAGAAGAATCCTCTGAAGATTCCTCCCGTGCGTCCGCCTTTTTTTTTTTTTTCAATGTGAAGAGCTGTCCTGGTTACGTATTAAAACTTTATTATTGCTGACGAAATTGCTTGTGATTGGCTTTTCGAAAGCAATTCGCGGGAAAGGCTTATCTAAAAATAACCTACTTGTGAAAACGCCGTTGCATAAGCGCAGTATGGAAGTTAGACGCTCCGGCTTATGGACTCCTGCCGGAGAAAAATCTCTCGGAGCAAAGGAGAGAACCAACAACGGGGCGTCCGGTGGAGTTGGCGCTTAAAGGGGTGCTTTGCACTAGCCTCGGCAGTGAAGGGTCTTTGATACACGGGTTTTCCCCGTTCATTGACCCGACGGCTATGCCATGGTGATGAGCCTCAACAAGGGCGAAACAGCTGTCCATGGCTGCCCCTGTGTGCGGGTGATATGGTTGTGCGCATGCGTAACGTGATGGCCATACCGTGGAGTTGGTGCGTGTGCTTCAGTGCAGTTTTAACTGCACTGAAGATACTAATTGAAATTAGTATCGTCCGGTCTAAGCTGATTAAATTTATTATAAAGAAAATGTAAGGAAGGGTTTTCGCCAGGGACAAAGCAAACTGTCCGTAATAACGAGGTGTCCATACTATGGGCTTAGACTCTAATTGGTTTCCCAGGTTACCGGATTATTGACCGCTCGTAATTCCATTTTCAGCTGCCGGTGGTACAGGGAGGGTACTTGACAACCACAGGACTGGTGCAATTTGGGATTGAGTCCCAGCTCTAATAATGATATCTTACTACGAGAAAGACATAATGGTCCATAATGCATAACAATTTTTTCTCATTCTATATCTACATATTTTATAATTAGCTATGTTGGCTTGTGCGGCAGTCCGAACTCTGAACTGAGGTTCTAAAAGTCGTTTTGTCTTGAAACTGATGAGTACAGTGGGTGAAATATAGTAGACTTCAAGTGTCAGTGTCATCGGATTTTAGTTTCTCAGTTTTGATAACATGGTCCAAGTGACTCGACTCATGTATGATTGCTCTCCGCCAACGACTTCTTGCATCACCCGCCCATCGACGGTTTTTTCCAGTTGATCATGATATATGTTTCCGGAAAATCTTTTGTGACAACTTCTTAATATTCAGGACCGGAATAGCTCATAACAAAGAGAATCCGGCTCTAGCAGTCACTCAGTGTTCCTTCCTGGCTGACTAAAAATATCGTGAACGTGATAAACGTTAATAGCTTGCCTTTTTGATAATCAAAAACGACCATTGACATAGCTTAAAAGAAATAGAAACTGGCTTAAAACTTCTATTTTCAGTTTTTGTGTCTAATTTTGATTTGTCATTTTTAATATAAAATGGGACATTTTCATAATTGCAACTAGACGTTACAGTCTATTTCGACAACGCTCCCCGCGCAAGCTTTACTCTTTACTACTTCGAGGGAGTGGAGGCCCCTTTGTGAGAAACCGAGGCTAAGCTCAGCTATCCGTTCAGCTCCCTCTGGCTGCCCCCTTTCCTCCCCTGTATTTACACTTACACTTAAGACGTCGAGTTCGAAATGTCAACAATCTTTATCTGATGGGGCGTGCCCGAATTTTCAGCTAGAGTCGACTTCAGGCATCATTTCACGCCGCACCTTATGCAAGAAAGAGATATCAAGTGAAGTGAAGTCTGGTAGCAGACCTTTGCTCAATACTGTATGGTGTATTAATTGGCAGGCTCGTTTCACTCACTGCGGGGGGGTACTCCTAGGAATTCTTGGTGGGGGTGTACCGCGCGGTTCTCCAAACCCTGAGCCCATTTCAGACGAAAAAATGTAGTTTTCCACACCCGTTTTCAGACCAGACCTCTAAAATCCATACCCGTTTTCAGACCTGGTCCTTTAGGTAGAAAGTATGTTATCATTACTCAGATTAGAGCGCAAACAAAAAAATTATTCAAATCCATTTCGAATTCTCACGTTTCTCTTTCTTTCCTACTCATCTGGAATTGAAACGATAAATACGTTCATTGACTCCCGTAGTTCCCTCAAAAACCATACCCGATTCCAGACCAAAATGGGCAAAGTGTATACCCGTTTTCAGACCACAACGGCGCAAAACCCCCACCCGATGGGGCGGCACATGCCTATATAGCTTATATAAGGGAGTACCCCCCCCCCGGGAACTCACTAGATTATTTGCGTCGTTACTGCACTTCAGTCAACTGCTGGTCAACTGTATTCCAAGGCCTTGTCGTTTCAATTTCATAAGAATCAGAAAGAAAAAGTAATATGCGAATTCGAAATGGGCTTAAAGAAATCTTTTTGATGAGCTCTAGTTTAAATATGATGACTTAATTTCTACTTATACCAGGAAAACTCGTGTGGAAGGTGACAATTTTTAGTCTGAAACAGGGTCAGGATTTGGGCAGCACACCCCCACCAAAATTCCCCCCCCCCCCCGCTCTGTCGGGATTTTAAACAGAGCATCACTTAAAAGTATTCCACAACTGCAGAAAATGCTTTACCGGGTGATTACTCGAAGGTGATTAACGTCAGTTAGTCAATGCATACGGAAACCTGATAAATCATGAGTGCACATAAGAGCAAGTGCATTCGGACATAAATATCAATCCTCACATTCTATCGATTAAACTCAGGCGTGTATCTTGCGTTTAAACTCACCTAAACGTTTAACGACATATTAACGAAAAGGTCAAAGCTAAAAAGGTTAAATTGTGTGAATACTTTACAAGATTTTCTTTAATCTTCTAGTAACTGAAAGATTGGCAACTTAATGAAGGAAATGTTAGTTATTGCTGAATGCAAACGCAACATTTATATTTAGTATGAAAACCTCTGTTGGGTATACACACTGATTTTATATAAAATAGAAAGTTATTAAGAATGACTGACTATAACATTGAAGTCCAGCATAACAGGAAACTGTAACTTAAAATTTTCGAATTTTCGAAATTCACATATTAGGTTAGAGTGAGAACTTCAACAATGAACTAAGACCACTCGCTTCACGCATACCAGCAGCGACCGCTTATTTGGGCGACAGAGGCATTAGTTAATCATAAGAGTAAATGAAAGTAAAGTTGTTGATTGTTACAGAAGGTATTTTTAGTGAAGTATATTTTACTTACCATTAGTTCAGACCACAGACCTCCGGCGATAAAACGATCGAGCCCCTAACTTTAATGACTAAGAGAACCTCGCGACACTCCTGGTTATGCACCTGTCTTATGGACCAAAACTCCAATGTCTTGCCTAAAATGAAAATTAAAACTAGAAGAACCTTTCCGCTAGTTCTTCAGTAATACTGTCAGCTGGGAAAGCTCAGTGCATTTTGTGTGATTGGCTTTGATCTTGCAAATATTACACTGCGATGTTCCGGTTGGTTTGAGTTCTTTAGTGCGGTTCTGCAGGATGTGTTGGTATGTTTCTTCGGAAGTACTAAAAGTTAGCGGTTTTACGGTTTGATTGCACTGGAATTATACCTGCGGGCTACCAAGGCAAAATATTTAGGTTATCACTTTGATGGCGGAAAAATTAGGGGACCTTCCGTCATGGTGAACACTTCAGTAACGGATCAGTCATGATCTTCGAGCAGATACAGGTTGAAAAAGATATGCTGCTACGCCTTAATTTGGCTTGAAGCCAGAGGGACTCCCCCATACTGGATAACGGGGTCACTACAAGTGCCTGCCTTTAGTGGCAACTACATTAAGTCTATTGCTTTTGTTTTTGGTGCTAATATGCGAAATAATGCGGTTAGAGATATCTCAGTACCTTTTACTAGGAAATAGTTTAGACTGATGACAACGCTTTCAAGATCCTTGTGGTTTGTAAGAAGAGGGTGTTCGAAGAGAAAAAAATCGTATAACCTTAATCATTAATAAACAGTATGCGCTTAGCTAAAAGAGTTTGAGCTGCGCGTCGCATAGAAAAAGATTCCCTGCTTTTTTGGGGGTTGCTTTGCAAAAATTTCCGGTATGAGAACTCCTGGGTTTGACGTCATTCAAATATAAACATTCTTTCCTGAACTGCTTCCATTACTCTGTTTTGAAATCTTTCTAAAAGAAGAATATTTTCAGCATCTGAGAACCCGGTCAGAATTAGGGCTAGCAGTGCTGACAGCGAGGGCGACTATTGTTGAGCAAAACTGAAATTATTTTCGTCCAAGCTGTAATGATGATGATGATGATTGCTTGCAATGAGCAATTTTATGATAGAAAAACACAATGAATAAAGCTGTATTTACGAGCAAGGTTCCCCTGGTAGCCAGTGTTAGCGGAAAAAATGAGACATGCGTTTCTTCCCAAGGAAAATAATTGCCATGTTTTCCTTTTACACAACCGCCTACACAAGGTCGATACAGAACTGTAGTTTTGCATTCGAATGCGGAAACTAAGAGGTTGCCTTAAAGAGTCCTTGATAATGACGTCAAACCATGCGCGTGTTGCAACGTGTTGTTATAACTGATCGGGCAGGGTTGTGTCGGGGGGGTCGGAGGGTTAGGGTGGGTTGGTCATTTGGATTCAAGTTGTAGAGAAGTCAATGCAAAGAGCATAGGCCTTGTGATGCTATCACGAGGTTTCGTTGTATCGAGGTACTTTATCATGTATTCTACTATTATTGGGGTAAAGAAAATTTTTCGTTACACCGAGGAGGTTCGCTATGTCGAGGTTGTACTGTAAACAGGTCCTTAACTGTAACAAAACCGGACGATTATTTTTGGAATTCAACTGGTGCGAACAAAACGTTTACCTTTTTGAAAAAAGATAAATAAATAGCAAATAGAAAGGCGTTACTGGTCTTTAATCATACCTACTAAACGTTAAAGGAGAAGATAGGTGTGATAAACTCTCAGTCTATGTCCTAGGTGGGGGATTGCAATCGATGAAAACACAAGACAGTGAAATTTAAGTCAAATTAAGTTTTCAATATTGTTTATTGTTGAAACAATTTCACAGAAGTGGTTTTTGTCCCTTGCTTTTACCTTCCCTTCGGTGATCATGTGATTTAGTACAGTATATATTAGAACTTTGTGAATATTTTTCGCAAAGGGTAATAAATTAACAAAGAAAGAGCAACTGCATAATTTACATCTTATGCTAAAAGATCATTTTGTGATATTCATAGCAATTAAACATACAAAAACCTTGAAACCTTACGAAAATGTTTATAAAAATGGTCTTTACCAACTGTTACAGCCAACTATGAAAAGACATACAACAAAAATCTTGACTTGGCTTTGTATTCTCGGCTTTACTGCCGCAAAGTGATAAATAAACCTTTATTTTTCAGAAATATGTTTTTTCTTTCATAAAATTATCTACCAAATTTTCTTTAACGCTTCTAGTTCACAAAATTCCCTTCTAAAATTCGTAGGTGACAACCGACGACTTGTGCGAATCGACGTGAAAACACGAGTGGATTGCGAATGTAGACTTCTTTAAATACTCTGTACATCTTTTAAAAATTATATTCTCTCAGAACAAGTGCATTTGTCATCGGGTTTAAGTCAGTGGGCTTCCACTTTGGTTCCACAACACTTTTCCTTGTGTGACAGTCAAGTTTTCTTTTTTTTCAAAGTTACTTTTTGTCCTTTACTTTTGTTTACCCCTGGGAATCATCAAAGTTTGAAAAGTTTGTTATGATAGAGTTTATTTTGTTTCTTAAGTCTTCAGTGATGTTCGGTACTTGGTTGATTCTAAAGTTCTTGTAACGTTCGCCAACCAATCAAACCAAACGAAACCAAGACCAAGACCTGATCAGAGATACAGGCGCCAGCTGCAAATTTCACATGGAGTTTTTTTGTCCATCCTTTAAATGCGTTCAGTTTAGACTGTGTTAAACTCTTTCCGCCTTGTTCTCAGCAGTCAGGAACTGAAGTCTCGTTTCGAGACTCAACCCCAAATTCTACGCCACTTGACGACTGCGTTATACATTAGTTTCCAGTCCATCTGAGCCACACTGAAAAGTGTCCCGTACTTTCGCCACAGATGAAGCCAAAAATGGTCCAAGTGCTTTGCTGTAGTAATCTGGTGTTCTTGCCCTGAACAAAAACAAAAATATTAACCGTCTTCAATACTAATACTTCTTAGTCTCGAGCAATAATTTTTCGTTCTCTAACATCATGCATTATTGCTTCCACAGGGGGTTGGGTTGGCAGAGCCCTCAATGATCCTTTGTATTTTGAAGGGGTGGCGGGGGGTTCGAGCAGGAGACCCCTCCCTAACCAGCGATCAGGCTTGCTTTATTTCGGGAGAGCGCGAAAGTCGGCGAACACCTCCTAAAGATAAAGGGAAGAAGGACCGTCTGATCGCAGGTTACCCCCTCCTCCGCCAAAATCCTTGAACACAGAAGTCGAAAACTAGGTGCTCGATCGGCCCATTCACTTTGAAGCTTTGGGTGGATGTCTTTTGAACGTTTTCACGTTTTGTTCAGGAAATAAACCACAAATAATCCACTCTTTACCATCCGAAGAGAACGACGCCTTTTAACCGGAAAACTTATAAAGGGCGGAGGAAAAAAATGAAAGACCATGTTTTCGGAAGCTTTTCAAATGGAGTGGAAATGTCATGAATTTGAATGAGGTATATTAATGAATGATTATTAGCAGCTGACCTCACTTGTTAGCGGAAGTTATTTGCTATCACACATAGTACCTACTCTGCGAGCTCAAAATTGAACCGATTGATTGAAAAGTAAATGTAATTTCTTGCAGCGACATTTTCACACGCAGATCAAAAATGATCGAAATGTTACTAGGAAACGCGTGGGCGCGGGATTTCTATAAGGACCTGACATTCTAGAGATCCGAGAGACTCGGATAATATGCGATCGGCTCCGTTTTCTAGAGAGATTAAAATATTTTCGTTTCTTTGTTATTAGAGCATAGATGAACAGTGGTAATAAGAACGTGTTAAACTTATCTCGGGGAAAAGAGGCCGCCTTTTTTGTTTTAAACAGTTAGCAGTTGTGCCAAAATTGTATGTCGACATACTTTTCATGATCAGATCCGCAGTGATAAGCAAACGCCGTTTTACTAAAGACCGGACCCGGGAGACGGCGGAAATCGAGCCTAACGTATTAGTTGATCACGTTATATTTTTATGTGACAATTTAAATGAAATCTCTACGGCTGTACTTTTACACGGGTAAAATGGTTTCGCATGTAGTTCTAACTTTTGAGTCTGTGGACCAAATCCTATGGTGTGTCCATTCAAAAGAACATTTATAACCGTAATTTTGTACATGTAAGATGCCATTTGTTTTGATTTTAGTACTTCTACAATTTTATTCTTTAATTATTTGCATCTGTGAGTTGCAGGGGTTTAGTGGTAAAACTCTAGATCTCTTTTTTTTTTCAAACAAATTTGCACTTTGCTAACCTTTGATCGACGCGGCTGATGTGCGTGAGTCGTGATTTGCCGTTCTCCAGGGGTTCCACAAGGTACCTTGACGCTAGTACAATAGCAGTCACACCATTGGAAGGCGGAGCTTTAGGGTGATTTATGGATGTGGATACCAAGGCACAGACACCCCGATCGAGATCCGTCCATGATCTAAGAAACAAACAGAAAACAAAAATTTAAACAGTCGGAAACAACTTCAACAAACAGAAAAATATATAAATATATAGCTGTGGCACTGAGGGACACGAAAAACACGCTTTGTGAATACTTTGAACGACTCACTGAAAGAGATATTAGGCTAATACTAAATTTATACAACAAACTAAAAGTTATGTTCATCCAGTGTGCAGGCCGGTGAAATGGCCGCCATGAAGGTCTTCTTCAAGCGAAGAGTACGGTTAGGTATAGTGGAACCTCGATGTAAGGGAGTGGCAAAATATGTTTGCTGTAACGAGGTTTCGTTATAACGAAGGCTTCGTTATGTAAAGGGAAGGTTCGGTCAGCACGAGCAATACGACTATATGCATAACAAGGTTTTTGGACCAAATCAATTTCTTACAGTTGACCTTGCGCTAAACAAGGAGGAAGTAGCGTCATGCTGGGGGAAATGATTGAAACAGCTTTACTCATTTGCACTTAAAAAGGTTTCCAACCTTAGTCTGTCATGGAATTTACTGGTATTGGCACTGATACAGCATACATTTAGTGAGGTAGCACATTTGGCGTCGAAAACGCTTTTGAGGGTACTTTTCTTTGACAATGTCTACTCAGACACAATAGGGTTCTCACTTCTTTCTAAAATTACAAAATTGTTATTGTTCGAGTAAAAGCTCTTGCCGAGTACTGTGCCATATATAGGATGTAATGCTTACCTTAACACCACGTGACGTCGTTTTGGTTGAAGGATCATAGATTTCGTCGTGTAATAAAACACATCTGTGTGATCATCGATTTTCTCGACCATGTCCCACGATTCCAAGTCTTCATCCCAAAGATGCCTAAAAATGATATTATGTATGTTAAACCATCTCATTTACCATCAGAACGAACAGTTTAAATTTTGCCTCTCTAGTCACTTGTCTCACCTCGCTGTGTTACGAGTCTCCCGTGAACTAAATATACCATTGAATAAAACTTATTTTTATTACCTTTCGTAAAGAATTCTTCTGATGACATCTTCCGGACTGGCATTCACTTCTACAGTGCATCTCCAGAGACGAAGTGGGTAGCCATCTTTAACTTTCTTGTATGATATCTCTACTGAACTGTCGTACCATGGGTGAGATACCCAGCCCTTGAATTTGTCTTTTGCTTCCTAAAGAAAAGGGAAAAGCAAAAAAAAGAATTAAAACTTATGCTCATACATTTTTTTTCATTATTGTGATTTCAGTGTCTAAACTAAAAATGCCAAATGAGGGAGTCGTGTAGATCTTCCATGGTACGAATTCTTTTTAACCAATCAGAGTGCAAAGTGCTTGGATGGGCCAATCAAAAGCCCTGGAAGCAGCCTGCTTGCTACGGTCGGCTTTGGCGGGAAAGTCCCGCTCCGTTCCTGCTCGGTCGACAAAAGCTTGCTTGTGATGATTGTGTTGTTTGATTACCTACAGTGTACCTACAGTTTTTACCTTGAGTAGTCCAGCAATACAAGACTGGATGTAACTTTGATATCCGCTGTCTGAACTTGTTTTGGATTTTCCAAGCTGATCCAGCGACACGGGTTCACCTTGTTCAATGTATGAAAACCGACTGTTCTTCACTGTATCTTCGGGGATCTGACAAAAAGGTGAGACACTCATTAGAAGCTTAAAATTATAAACCTCTCGTTCAAAAACAAAACAAAAAACACCAAAACTGGCATTCGAGTCTATTTCGAGAGCTGTTTGTCCTCGACTAATGGTCGTTCGAACGAGGTGAGGTAAAATTTGAAAAGCAAGCTTGAATAAATTTGAGAAGCAACAGAAATTTCACCTTTGAAGTTAACCTACCGAAAAGAGCTTGTCCACTTCCGTTATCATTTGAGCAAGGCATTCATGTGCAGCCTACAACAAGAAAATAAAAATTCGTCACGATACAGACCAATTTTTTGCAGTTTGTTGGGTTGCAATGCACAAAAACATTCTTTTGTAAATCGTAGTCAGGGGGTAAAGAGGTGAGACGTTACGTTGAAGTTGTTGTTGGAAGAAATGCTATGATGTGGTCATAAAACCTCTTTGGTAGTACTTTAGTCTTTTGCACGATACTAGTTAAGCTGTGTTGTAGGATTCTCCATAATTTAATGTGGAATTTTCCTCACTTGAACAATTTATTGTTGGAAATGAAATGGTTAAAATAGTGAGTCCCCCCTTCCCACCCAAGCAACAACTCCCTCTCCTCAAGTTCCTCTGGGAAATTAGTCAGCACACAAGTCAAACTTATACGCTGATCTGCTTATGAACTTCTAGACAAGCAAGCATTTACAGGGTTTCGGAACATACCAAGTTATCAGTAAGCTCCTTGGAAGCTTTGTTCATAGGTGTTCTCTTTTGCCTCTTGGGAGCAGATGGATCTTCTTTAGTACCACACAAATGGAACAGCGATGGAGCAAAGCACACGCCAAGATTCTTCTCATTCATCTAATGGGAAAAAAGATTAATTTGTTTACTTTTTGGAACAACAGAAGGTGCACGCCTTGGTACTGGCTTCAGTGAGATGTAGAATACATGACTGTATCTTTGAAGTAACAGATACATCAGTACCAATTGTGTTAGAGAGTTGTTAACAGGGACTTTAAGATCCAATGATGTGACGGCAATGAGAACGTGAACAAAAACAATAGGTTTAATAAACAAAACCAACAACTTCGCACATTCATGCCACTTTTTGTACATTTCTTTGCACAACTACAACTTGAAAATGCCTTATTTATCGTTTTATGGAGAAAAGTAAAGCAACAACAAAATATTTTTCTCTTTCTGAACTTGGATATGGTCCCTTGGAATTCAACTTCAGGAGGGTTTGCCTACTTATGACAAAGTAAGTGGGTAGGAATAATCACGATAACGACTAAAAGAACACAAATCCACTTTTAAGCGACGTTCTCATTGCCACCGCATCATTGAATCATGATCATCAACTTGTTGCTTGACAAATGATTTAACAGTACAATAATTAAAGTAACTTCACCTGATTTGTTTCAGAGTTGGCAGCCACTTCACTTAGGAACAAGAGAAGTGTCTGAAGAGCTTCCCTGTTAGGGTCAGGCATAAGTAGAATAGCTGCTTGCATTGCCTCCATTCTGGAATTGGGAGGGATACCTAAAGGTGCAAAAACAGATAAAATCGATTGAATAAGCCCTACATGAAGAAAAAATCATGCTAAAAAATGCAAAACAGGTGAGTTAAGAGCAGTCAGAAGAAGTTTACACAGCAAAAACAGTTTATCTCTATTCTCAGCCACCATGCAAGCAGAAGGATGACGATTTAATCATTTTGGTATTAACAATGCTTTGATTTTATTTCTGACCACTTTGCCAGTTAGCACCTAGCCGGCAAAGAAGTCCCCAGCACCGAGGAACGAGGAGTGAGAGCCATATTCACTGGCCAGTTGGAACCCTTACTGTGAAACTCACAAAACCATGAACACCAAAAATATTTATGGAATGTTATTGTGTTGCGAGAAATTAGCCAATAAGGTGCGACCTAACTAAACCGCAAACAGCAACAGTAATTACTTTGTGGTTTTGAGGTTTGCTTGCATGTCCTGAACTTTATTGTAATTGTCCAGTAGACAATCAACATTCCTGAAATTTTTCAGGTGTTCACAGGTTTTGTGAGTTTAACAGTAATAGCCAACATCAGTAAAGGACAGGAATACAAAACCAAGGCATAAATAAAAAAAATTATCTAGTAGTCAACTCCTTATGGTTGTAATGAATATCATTGTGCTGATAGAAACTTCTATTAATTAGTAACCACAATGGCAATGAAAATTGTTTTGAGTTAGAGGACATTCACTATTTGCTTTGCTTGATGATGGTTAAAAGTTATCAAAGAATTGTGCAATATGTGGGCTTAACACTTCGCGTGCTATACTTACTTGAAAAAATAGATATAAATGTTTCCGCTAATTTTGAAGTCAAGATGGGTTCTGGAAGTTCTCTGAAGTACTGCTTGAGCATGTCAGCCATATCATAGGGTGACAGACCCTCAAAGTCAGTGTTATCTGCAATTATGAAATATGAAATGCTCTTATCTATCATCCATTAACACAATAAAAAGAGGCCCTATTTGAATTTTGTATCTGTCGATCCCCTGCAATGGCGAATCTGGAAGGGTGAATGAGTCAGACGATCATGACAGTGGGATCTTATCAGAAATTAAAATGAATCTGCAGCAGATGTACCTGGATCTCCTTCAATCATTTCCTTGAGGTGATTTATTCTCTGTTTGCCCCCGGACTTTCTAAAAATACCAACAGCATCGACAGCTGGAAAAAAAAATGGTTAAACCTGATAAGAACTTGATTGGTAATTTCTCTATCATGAGAAAGTTTAATTCAACTAGTGGCAGACATGTGACATTACCTGATCTTTGAAGATAGTTGATAGCAAAGAGAATTGATCTTGGTAGCGGTTGTCCAGTCCTTTGGAGAACAACCGAGAGAGGAACTCCAAAAACGTTTCTGTCTAAAAGACAAGCAAAATGTATAAATTATACACCACGATCACACAATTTGTAATTTGCATATAATGAATCAAGGCTTTGCTATAAGAAAATATTGAAGAGAGCACAGAGCTGTGAACCTGTGAAATCCAGGGTGACCAAAGTTATACATGATTTCTAAGAAAAACTAAGATTTTCTAGTCTAGTTACCCGGGTTAGGCGCCAGTGGCCACCGGGTGCTGCTAAGAAGCACAGCCTTGTCAATAATTATTGTTCCAGGTTATGACAATAAAACAAGTAAATTAGGACTATTACCTCTGTAATCTGGTGACTTCAGTTTCTTCAAGAAGTGAGGAAATGACCTAGAAATAAAGAAAGTACACACATCAAGTGATTTTCGTACACATATTACAATCAGTGGTACGAGCATTAACAAAAAGAGTATTTCTGTTATAAACCAACTCCTAAAATCCAAATACACAATATTTTGTAACAAAATTAACAAACTTACCAATTCCACATGCCTCGGTGAGACTGTGTGTGTCTTTCCATGAGTGCTGTAAGTTTCAAAAGTGAATATTTTCTAAGAACTGCAAGCTGCCCTGCTGTGAGGTCGCATATTCTTGGTGATCTGTACCAAAGAGATATTAGTTTTAGCAGAATACCAGTGATATGGTAAAGACCAGTTGGTAGAGAACTACTGCATATCAATGACATGTCTATTGAAAAGTGGTTGAGAATGGTTATCATTGTAGAGAACATCATATTAGCTATTCTTCACTCACTTAACATTAAGAAAATTCACAAACAAACAAATTGCACTAATAATAATTGATGTATCCGTTGTGGTTCAATTTTATCCTTGATTTAAATCTTATTTTCTTTTGTTTCAGACTCATGTTATTATCATACATTCCCATACTCAAAACAAAAGAAAATAAAATTTGAACCAAGGATAAAACTGAACCACAACACATCCAAAATCACTACAGTGAGTGAAGTGTCTGATCTCAATGGTCATTAAAAGCATCACAGCAGCACCTCAATAAGATTAGTTATCCATTATGTATTGGGAGATGCATTGCTGCTCACAAAATTATTTATAAACTATGATCTGAAACTTACGCAACATTTATTTCAGGTTTAGATGTTTTCTCAAAGCTGTGCCACCGTACTTTTGGCCTTCCTGCTGTTGATGATGGAGACATGTCGTCACTACATTGTTTTTCTGAATTTCTAATTGACCGTAACATTGACAAGTCTCCAGGTAAGTCGTTGATTTCATCGTCCCTCTCAAAGTCTGATAAACCCTCATTTGATGATCCACTGCAAGACTCTATTCCTAAGTCACTGCTTGTAAGATTCCGTTTGTAATTCCTAGTAGAACTCCTCAGTTGATCATTTCTGTTAAGGTCTTTACCTACATTTGATATCGACGGCGTACTGGCACTTAATCCAGGTGCCAAATTGTCGTAAACACTTGCTCTTCCTTGTGATATGCATAAATCCAAGTGTGTAAATTGATTTAATGGATCAGCTAAAAGATTGTCTTTGTTGTGGAAAGGTCTTTGTCTCGAATTTGTTACACTGTTCAATGATGTGTTTATCCCATTATGTGAACTGCTTAAACCTGATGGACCTTTTCCTTTTGAGAGTGATGGTGAACCATTCCTTCTGCTTGACCACCGCCGATTTTTATTTTGAAGTTTCCAGCGTGAACTTAAGGCAATCAAGTCTTCCTCATCTGAGTCATAGCCATCACTCTGTTCAAAGGATAATGCTAAGAGTTAGCAGAAGTGAATAATTTTCTACCCCTTACCCACAATTACAGAAAATCAAAATGTTGAGAAAGAAAAACAGTCCAGTCCAATGGTAGTGTGCAAGATCTTGCAGGGTAGTCCAATGACTGTGAATAATGGTCTGTTACATTATTCTTCTAGATAGTGTTTTAGGTCACCATCTTCATGTTGCCATCATGGGTTGACAGCATTCTCAAATGCTGTTTTGAGCAACAACAAACCAACAAAAAGAAAGGAGTAAGAGGTAAAGAGCTATGTTTTTTTACCTTGATGTGGAGATTCATTTTTGCACATCGATTAAGTGTTTGAAGACGCCTATAAAAGTGAACATGGCATTTCAGTAACATAATAAAGTAACTGATAGATCCAGGGAAATTAGAAGGGTAGTGTATTTGCAAAATCTGGATACCCACTCTCAAATGCAGCTATGAGACCAAAAATCAGTTTTGCTTTTAGCGAGGTCCACTGGGGGTATGCTCCCCTGGGAAGTTCTTTAAATTTGAACTTCCTAATAAAAGTCCCCATTCCTGGGTTTTTGAGCCATTGGAAGGGGGGAGGGGAGCATTTCCCTTCGGGGGATCTAATGCCTGAGAATTGGAAAACAAAAAAACATTTGTCCAAACCATTTTCCAGATTTCAACTTGGGAAGTTTTTTTTTAACTATTTATTATAAAAAATCTAACTGATTTCCATAAAATGATGGAAACCATTGTGGATCCGTGCCTGTCATTACCTGTATAAGGATTGGATTGAATCCTGATCCAGGAAGTCATGTTCCTTGATAACAGTTGCTGTATCAATGGGAAACTTTCCATCTGATTCATGAATGAAGCATAGAATCTATTGTCAGCATTTCTAATAATGGGTTCTGTACAAGACAGCCCTAGCAAATGACTTGTTGGAAATTAAAGATTAAATTTCATCTTGTGTTTAGTAGGAAAAAAAATTTAGTAGGAAAAAAAATGATAAGTAGGATAACAAGTACATGTACTGGTAGTTAGTGTAAATACAGGGGTCTTAAAACCACAATTGAATGTTCTGGAAATATTCACTAAAACACTAAGATGTATGGTGGTCACGAGAGAGGTATAAAGCAAATTATTAGTGAGATAAAATACTAACATTTCCAGTTTTTTCATGACAAGAAAATTTCAGGTTAAAATCCCCCCTTCTTTGTGGTGTGGGAGGTATTGTGACTGACTGCTGATTTTTAATGAAAATTTTGTCACAACTTTCATTTTGACTGTTGCTTTCACAGAGCTGGTCAAAAGTGAGATTATATGCACAGTTAATATTTTATGGTGTTTACCTTCATAGGCTTGTGCATATTGTGGAAATCCTGCAGCTTTTAACCAGTAGCATGCTTCCAGAGCCTCTAATTCTGCAGGGAAGCAAAGAAAGGTTTTGCAATGGATGCTGTGTGTACCATTTAGAAATTTCTGAGAGACCCACCTACAAGGTAGGTAACTTAAACTGGTTCAAAGGATGTCCACTCATACTTTACAGAGACATTGGAGTGGATTATTTTAAAATCAAATTATATGGGAAAGCATCATGGTGTTCATTTTCACACAAATACAAGGGCAAAATTGCAATAGTTATGTTACTTAAATTTGCAAATAGAAACAAAACTCACAGTTAACTGAGGCAGACACTGTGATATTTGGAGCAGGGCTGTATTCTATGACCCCCAGTGACTTATTTTTCTTTCGTAAACAAGGAAGTGTAAGCTTTGCACAAAATGTTTATGCTAGGCGAGATTCAGAAACTTGTTTGGAGCTTTTGAGCATTTTATTGAATATTTTTCATAAAGCACAGTGTAGCAAATCACTGACACTAACATGGTGGCTTTGCAGACAAGTATTCCATAATTAATACTAAAAACTGAAGATGGTGTTTTACAGTGTGTTTAAAAATTAATATTAGCTATTTTCTATGAAAACAGAGTCTCTAATGCACTGAAAACTTTCACCCTTGTTTAATATAATAATATGATCACAATTTAAAACTCAAGCAATCAGAATTCTACTCTTTTTAGTTCCAGAAACAAGAGACATGACACTTTAGGGTCACTGGTTATTCTGCAAGGAAATGAGCTGTTTCTATCTTCAAGACTAAAAGCAGGGAATAAGATTACCGGTAATATAAAAGTCCAGTACCAAAATTCTTTGATGCATACTGCCATAGTACATATAAATATTTATCACATGTACACGCTCAACGTAAATACAGTACAATATGTCAATGCGTGGTTAAAAAAATCTCACTGAGCGGTTTGCGGCTTTCAAACAAATCACAATCATTGCAACTTTTGACTTTTTAAAGCATTTGTCAGTTTTGCATTTTGACATGAAAAATTGTTCAGCCATCTTAATATTCAAGGGTTTACCCAAGACAATCGCACATGTCAGTTTAGGTTGCGGTCATCCATCATTCGATACTAAGTGTGACGCTTGGCTGTCAAACATGGCACTGACAAGACAGGAAGGTTAGGCTCAGTGATACCAGCGCAAACAAGAGTCCACAGAGATGTTCTTACAGGATGTAGGCTGTAACAAAAACTTGCTATAGGAACAAAACAGCTGAATTTCTATTTCTCTGAAAATAATTTATGACAGTAAGGTGATAACCAAGGGCGATTATGGGAACAAACATTTCAAATTCAGTAAGAAGCGTACTTCGAGATAATTGCAGCCTCCCGCATAGTTCTGTTTGCTTTCTCCCATCTTAAGGATACAAGGACTAAACTACCAAAACCTCTGACATAGCAAACAAACAAAACATCTTGTCGCCGGTTAATGAGAAAATATGTAAGAAAAAAAATTTGCAAATTAACTTCTTGAAACCCACATGCCCTCGAAAAACAATTGCTACTTAAGATGCCGCAACACACAATATCTCTGCGATTAACAACACTTGAAACACATCACAGAGAACAAGACCTGATATTTTCGCCGGCGATCTATTGAAAAGAGGCAACAACGTGAAACAGCGTTGATATTTTACAGAAACACGTTGATTTATGGCTAATTTTTTTTCGGACTTACTTGTCATTTCACGCATGGTTGGCGCGCAAGATGGGTCGCATTCTGTTTGAACGATCTTCGCGGCAAACTCACAGGAAGGCGGAGAGAACCGCGAAAACGGTCTCACCGAATACAACAGCAGAGGTTCGATTAAATTTAACTAAATTTACTTAACGGAACAGTGGATTCCTTAAACAGATCCATCCATCGTCACGTGAGTAGGCCTATTCAGATTTTATTCAAATCAAGACTTTGCGGCTATGCAAGCAAAACAAATACTGAACGTATGAATGGCCGTGGTTCGCTGTTTATATTCCTCTGTGTATTGCTTTGTCCGCTTACGATTTTCAATCCAATCGCATTCAAAAATCAGGAGGGTTTTGTTTAATCACGCTTGAACCTTTCCGCTGCAATGGTCAAGCATGTACGGGGTTTAGAGCCCCACTCAAAGTTATTACCTTCCCCCAAAAAATCGATGTCACACAATTAGCGAGTTAATGGAATTCTACTTATGCCTTCTTACTGATGAACTCCTTGATGACCGACCGGTCTCTTGCCAAGTGCTAGGCAATCTTTGACCAATTTCGCAACAAACTGATTTTTTTTTTTCGCCGAATCTTACTACAGCTGTATATCGTTGCAATTTGTAACACTGGTGAAAGAGATGATTGGCAACTGAGACGGAGACATGGTAGAATTCTTAACTCATGAAATGTTTTCACATCCAGGTAGTTTTCTTTCTGTGTGCTAAGGAAAAAACTAAGGTGAGACAATTAACCCTGAACGGAGGCTAGCAAGCGTATGAGAACCAAAACAAAAAAACATATAGTCTGCGACAGCTCTGAATAATGACAGTATATAAAATGTAAGCAATGCGAGTTGAAATTCCTTAACATCTCGGGTCAAATAATTTTACAAGCCTAGCTTGTACCTTTGATCGCTCCCTTCTTGTTCTTGCGAGCCAGGAATCGCCGGAGAATCCTTCGCCTGTTCTCGCCAGTTGTATTAACACCGTCAGAAAGCGCCATTGCCATGAGATATATTAGCGACCACGGCACAGATATTGGACGCACTCACGGTTTAATTGAGTACATAGAACAGAAGTACTCATTTCAGCCTCGAGCGAGGAAATTTTCCGTAACAGCTTGATGTCTAGAAAATGACAAATCCAAGGAGACTAGGCCCCAGGAAACTATCCCAACACCCGATTTGATTGACGTATTGTTTGTGTCAACGCCTTGACAAATAACCACCTATTGTGCGTGAAGAAACACAACAGTAAAGGGTGGGCAGGCAAATTAAATACTCTAATTCTCTACTGCCAAGAAGCTGTAGGGACATGCTGTCTATCGTCGAGAGTTTCTCAAAACAAAATTCCATCAAATTTTGTATCTGCACATTTATTTTGAGATGTCCGGTCGTGACGTCGACGAAGGGCGTATTATTTAATTTTCAGGTGCGCGTACCATATCCTGTTTTGTTTCAGAAACTTTGTTTCTGAGTGGGAGTCACTATTTTCGTGTTGTTTAGTCATGACAACTTACTCGTGACAAATTATATTCAAAAGGAATATTTGCAATACGGTTATCTTAAAGTGATGGATTTTTTTTTGTTGATATTAGATTTGTCGAAATTATTATTTTAAGTCCTCCAGGATTAGTGTTAGTTTTTATAAGCAGTCGCTTCACTTTGCCACTGCTTCCGATTCTATCCCCGTTTAAAAATGGCTTAAAACAAAGCAGGAAAGCAGTGCTGGATTACCGCTTAGTAATGAAGGAAAAAACACTGGTTTAGAATTGTCTTTGCAAAGGCAAGTGAACGCTATTTGCCCTTTAGAAACCACAGTAATTTGTACTCTGTAATTTGTAATCTTCGAGGTGACCTCGTGGGAAAAATATCTATCGGGAGTAAGATACCCTGTAAACATGAATAAATTTCACTTTGAAAAATGCTTGTTGCCGCATACAAAAAGAAGTTAAAACGTGATAATTTCTCAAAGACTTTTTTCCCATGTTCTAGAAAACAACGTCTTAAAGAAATCTTTCAAGACGAATTGATTAATGTGTAGAAACAAGGCCGGGAAACAAGGTCAGTTAGACCACATAACATAAATGATCTACAGAAATAATAAATACCATCCGCCAGCATTGACGCGAATTCTGCAACAACCTCCATTGTGGCGTCCAAATACCTGCACTCTAAATTGTCAGAGAGTTCGCTGTCCTCCTTCCAGTAAGCTCCACACATGATTTATTGCTGAACACAGCAAATGACTACTAAACACGCTTTGAAAAAGGTGGCTCTTTTATACCCACTCTACGGGGTACGGCCACCGGATGACGTCAATAACGTAACTTAGAGATCGCTGACCGGAAGGTGGAAAACGGAGTTGTCGGAGTTTTTCGCAGAATTCCGGCTGAAACGGCACGAAAGCTACTGCATTACATGTACAAAGGTAAAGGAGCGTCTATTTTGTATCCTCATCTGGGAACATCCGAAGCGTGAAAAATTCCACGCTCTGAGAAAGATATATTTTTCTTTCAGTCAAGATTCAGTGAAGATTGCTTGAGCTAAATTAATTAGTTAACAAAGGTGAAGTGGCTTGCAATCGGGCGATCAGCGAGACAAGTACCTTGGCCATCTGAGTGGTAAAATCATTGTCTTCCTGCGATTTAGCCGTACATATCACCCTTACAAATGTGTTTTCGTTCTACAAAGCTTTTCAAAATGTCAATAAAATTCTTTTTGACTCACGTACGATGTTTGTCTTACTGACTTAAACAGATCTAATGTGACAGTGAATGTTCGTAAAGTGGTTATTTCCTTGACTTCCTTTTGACTTGGATAGCCAAAGTTAAAACAGCCGATCACTTGCTTTTAGCGCAGGAAATTAAAAATAAAGGATTTAACAGCGGAGATAACACGCCTTCCGCGTGTTTAGCTCTGAAGTTAATTCTAAAATATTTATCATTCCGCACCTAAAAATGCCGAATTAAAAAAAAGAAAAAGACTTCTACCAAAGATTCCAAAAGTAGGCTATTTCTGTGAACACTGGACAATAATCCATAATATAAAAAGGTTTTGTTTGATTGTTTATAAGGATTACCAAGAGAATTCATTTGTGGACTCAAAAGTTACATCACATGTCACTCTGAAAGGATTAATCTTACAATTCCCTAGTTCAAAGTTGAACAAGTGTTTCCTAATTGGTCCGAACTAAAACCCTCTGAAAACCCCACGCAGTGCCACAAAGAATATTTGTCGATGGCTATTTAATTCATAAGGTGGTAATGCTTCATCCGCCGAGTCGAGGCTTAGACATTGTATAAAGCATTTGTGGACTCTACACACTCAACAAGCAAATCGGAAACCCACGCGATTTTATGCTACAACATAACAGTAACAACTGTGTTCTCGGCTGTTCAATGGAGACACCTAACAATCCCGAAGGCGTGAAGCTATTTTCATTATATTCTCCTATAGAATTTATGGCTGCATCTCGTGTTTGGGCTTGACACACGAAATGTAATCAAAACATTCCCCACCTTTGTCAGATGACTTTTCAAGCAAGGCGAGGCCAAAACTGCTTACTAAATAAGGTTTATCTATCGATGGCAATTATGAAAGCATTCAGTAATGTTATTTTACAAAAAATGTGGGAAAAGATTTGAATAGTTTGGTAACAAGTGAAATAAGGGAAAGGCTTTTTATACTCTGTAAGCCTCTTGGCTGGAGGTTTAGCGAGGTTTACTTCTCTTCTGTACCTTCTGTCCTGTTTTTAAACCCTTTGCAAAATTTAGGGCTAACAATCTACTGTTCGCTCGTTGTGAAGCGTGTGGTTGGAAGCAATTTACCTTATGTAAGGGTGTAGAAATCAGGGCATTTTAGTTTCGGATACTTAATGGCTTATATCAGGAAGTTAAACAACACTTCCAAAATTACAAAGCCAGATGATACCACTTGGACATTTCGGCTTACCTAAACCCTAAAGTATGCGCTTATGTAACATCATTTCCTGGTCTTTCCTGATGGTTAGATGCAGAAATCATGAGAAATGAATCACACGATTAGTTGTTTCTCCAACAATCGTCATTCTTTCCTTCTTCTTTTTTTCACGTAAAAATTTCGATTCGCATAAGTAAATCCTTTCCAGGGGGTTAGTTTGTTGATGGCATGCAGCGGTTGAGCGCTGACGTGGACGTGGATGATTACAATACCAATTTCTTTAACCTGATTGCGCAAGTTTAATTTCAAAATTGTGTACGTGCTCTATTGAATGTTTTTTTATTGTATTTAAGTCCAGGACAAGTATTTCAGCTGCACAAAAAAAGGAGAATAACTTCCTTAATCTTACTATACTGACGTTACTCTGACAAAGGAATTTTCTTTTCATGTCGATGTCTGGGATGATAACCCCTTGATAGGTTCACATTTGGAATGTTTTTAATAGTTTCTGTGCCCTGAAGTGAAAAATCACAATTCAGAATGAATCGCCTAAGAAACTTTGGCTCATAAAATAGTCTCTAACGATCCGGCCCCCTCTTTCCTTTGACGGATAGTTTGCCTGTGACAGATGAAACAAATTCCAGCAGGCTGTCAAAAATACCAGACGTAGCTCATTGCGTCATAGTTACAAGAAGTTGGTCAAGGACAGAGACAAATCTGGAAACTTCGCTACTGTTACTCGATAGCCACTGTTTAATGTCAAATGCTCACAAACGTAAAAGAGAGGCAAACATTCTCAACAGCAACTCAGAAGTACTACTTTTGAGGATTAAAACTGCAAACAGAATTAACTGTCACGGTGATAAATTGATAGTAATTTGAAAAGAAGTGATAAAATCAAACTTCAATGTCTTTCTCATGCATTGAGGTTCTTCTAGAATACTAACGAGATAAGAACAAGTGTAAGCAAGGTAGAACCAGTTCCGCCTTAGACTAAAGGTAGGAAGTGCAAAAGTCAGCTTGAGAGCAAGTCAACTTTATCCGCTCAGAAAATAAAACCAAGATGAAACCAGTTTGTGGTTCATTCCCTCACAGACGCTTTTGAATAAGCCTTCGTTCATTTCATAAAAACGCCGGCCCGCCTTTTTTTTCAGACCTGACTTCCCATACTTCCGTTATGGCTATCAACGCTGACAAACTATTATATGGATTATATTAACAGTTACTCTGCGCGAGAATACTCACTTAAAATACAATTCAGCCGTTGTTTTTCCACTCACTGCTATGGATAAAAGCCATTAGATTTTCTAAGTGCTGCTAAAAATATATGAAGCCCTCTCCAGCAGATAAAGTGATTTCGAGATAGGAGGCTATGAAAAAAATTGAATTTCAAGTGAAACTCTTGAGTTTTTGGAAGAGTTCCTAGGTGTCATTATTCTGAAAGTCCTTGGAATTGTTCTTGAAACCTTGCTGTCTTGGCCTTTTTGGATTGGACTTTGACCAAGAATGTCTAAATCCTCCAAAAAACCGTAGCAATTTTCATTTTGCATATCCAAAAACGAGTAGTGCCACGAGGTTTATGATCAGTGAGTATTCCTTCCCCCCGGGGGTACTCCCCTATAAAAGTGACGGGGGTGCTCTTTGTATTTTAGGGGTTTAAATTTGTGGATTGGTACCGCTTAGGGTACTAAAACATAAAATGACTGCTGCCAGAGTTGATACGATTTATTAGGAGAAAGATTTATGACACTACTTTCAAAAAGTCCTTGAGAAGAAAGTGTTCGAAAGTTATCTTTATTACTATCAAAAATTTGCCGTACCAGTGATATAATTTGTTGTTGTTGAATTGGTAACTCTTAGGGGTGAAAATGAATTGGGGACACGCCCATAAAACTAGATTCTGGTACCTTTTGAGGGTGTTCTCGAAATTTTCTGACGAGCACCCCCGTTACTTTTATAGGGGAGTAACTCCGCGGGGTCCTTCCGACCTCGCAATTTTGAACTACGTCCGAGCAACTCGATGATTGGCCTGGGTTTTCATCAAAAATTTCATTTAGCACCGTTGGTGTAGTTTCGCCAGTATGAGACAAAAACAAACAACAACAACAAAACAATCATGAGTGCGTAAATTCAATAACGTTTGATGTAGCGGTCTTGTAGGTAGAAAATGTAACAATGATCAATTATACTTTTTTTCACGCAATGGAAAAACTGAAAATGCTTACTTTTCAAACTGTTCATTTCATATTGTTTTACGCTTCTTGCTTACTTTCTCCAAAGTTTATAAACGCTCTTTTTGACCTCTTTGTAGTACGGTTCATTGGCTTTTAGTTGGAACAAAGTGTGTTTACAAAGTGAAGTGTTTAACCGCTAGAATTTATAATGAATCGACGTATGAAAAAGGGCATGAATACATCTGGTACTAATTTGTATCTTTTACGACGTATAACATGAAACATAAAAAGGGATATAAACCATGCTTCCCGCAGCTTTTATTCTGCTGTAATAAATAAAAGCATAAATATATCAAGAAATATTACAGTACTACTGCGAGCACACGTCGCGTGATATGTAGGATCATGCGTTTGAAAGAACATTAAGGAAGTTGTGACACAAGTTATTGATAAACCAACAGTATTTATTAGAGAAGAGATAAC